TTCATTTTAAATACCGGAACCCATGAAGTAGTAGCTCTCCTAGAGTTTGGAAACTGAACTTTAGTAGAAAAACAAAACAAAGCAAAAACAAAAACTGAAGTAACTGGTGACAGTCCTACCTTTCCCCACTGAAATGACACAATAGAAGACCATCCATACCTGAGAATAGAACTGTTGCAGAAAGGGCTTCTTGACTGCAGGCATCACAGCATCCAGATGTGGCTGAAGAAACTCAAACTGTTCAGCCAAGAACACCCTAAAGGATAATAACCACCATGTAAACAAATTAAGGGATGTGAAGCCAACTGTGTTCTTGTGTGCAATTAATCTTCTAAGATCTCCAAGCAAAACCTTAACAATTAAAATTATTTTCCAACTTAGGATAATCTGACCATGACACATTCACTGACAGTTTATACAGTTAATGAATGGAGAGTAGGTAAAAGAAGAGTAACTTCAAAGGACATAACCAGGTCACCACAAGATAAAGTTATGCTGCTTTGTGTGTAAGACTCGAGCACAGGTAACAAAACAGATTGAAAAGAGAATATAGTAGTTTTAAAGGATTTATTTTAAAGATTCCTTTCTATTATATACAACAGACTTTTCACGTAAACAAACTCTGAAGTCTGTTCTACAACACACTTTTCAGATTCAAGATGTAAAACTTTTTGTAAGTTATCCAAACATTCGTAACATGCAGAGAAATGTACTCGCCCAGCATGCACACAGGTGAACCCCAGTGCAGGAAGCTGTGTGCAGGCAGGAGCCACGGTCTGGTGAATGGACCCCAAACGCAGCCTGCAGTACACCCCCAGTGCAGACATCCTGGGGTCCAGCACTGCTCGCCTCCACTCTGTCATGTAGGCCAAAATTATTCAGTTACATTGGCCATTTGATGGAAAAACTTACTTGCTTTAAGAGAATTAACATATCTGGGGGCTTGTCAAGGATGAATTATATTTAATTATTTAATATATTTGGTTATATTTAACACTAATCTGATAATGTAGCTACAGGTTCTCTAGAACCTTCAGTCTTCAATAGAGAAATGTATACTATAAGACTTCTTAAAGATTTACCTATAGGATGGATCATGTTACTAAAGATCAAAACTTGGAAGATTTTCTTCATTTATATAACTAAAAGCCAACCATGCAATTTTAAAAATCAACTGGCAATCCACATTAGCATATGTCACATCTCAGAAATACGTGACAGAGGTAGTAATTGTAGAAGTTAAATTATATAGTATTTGCTTGTAGAACTTTTCTTAGTTAAAGGCAAAGCAACTATCTCTAACAACTTACAAGGACTCTGTGGCGATCACTCTTTCTGCCAACCCATACAATGTATCCCCAGATGTCAAAACCACAAGGTGGCTGAGGTGAGGGCTGGGAACCTTCTCCTTTCTTTCTTCTGCCGCTGTGAGTGTGGCAGGAGGATCAGCTGAAACTTCCTGAAAACACAATGTACATGTATGCACAACAGCTAAAGCAGGAAGTCTAACAGTAATAGACCATAGTAATCACAGTAATAAGTAGTAAACACCATCATAATAACAGCAATAAACCACAGAATAGAAGTTTAGGCCAACCAGAACTGTAATTAAAATACTGATAGGTATACTCCAAGTACACCTATTTTTATTTTTTCCCCCACATTTTATGACTTGTTACTATCCAAACTTTACTCTCCATTTCTTTTTCTTTTTCTTTTTTCACTTTTTTATGTATTTGTACAGGGTCTCAGTATACAGCTTGGACTCACAGTGATCCTCCTGTTGTCAGCCTCCCCAGCGCTGGGATTACAGCTGTGAGCCACCATGTCTAGACTCTGACACTGGCTCAGTGCATCCCGGGTGCAAGGCCAGCGTAGCATGTGGGGCCAGGGATCGAACCTTGGTCCCTTCACTTGCCAAAGCAGGCACTTAGTTCACTGAGCTATCATGCTGGCCTCAAACTTTGCTTTTCATACTAAGTGAAAATCATTTTATATATCATATACCACTGCATGTGATATAAATGCATGATTTAACATCTTCCAGCACAAGAAACTTCTATGAATTGACAAATATTTCTCCTGAGACAACAGTAAGAAAGCTCTCAAAAACTTGCAAATGAGGGAAATGAGATTGTCTCTTGAGAACCAAGCTGACAGGACTGTAAAGCACAGTTTGATCAATCACTTCACAACTGCTTTTTTTTTGGGGGGGGGTACTAGGAATTGAATTCTGGACCCTGTGCTTGCCATGTAGGAGCTCTGCCACTGAAATATATCCCTGGCCCCACTACTAAATCTTAATGAAGGTAAGTTTGATAGAATCTCAAGAAGGTAGGACTAGAATGTAGTTATAAAATGAAACAGAACCAACTATACTGTATATAACTGGACAGAGATTTTTGATGAGAAGATGGCCAGTATGAATAGAAGAAAGCGATGCCCAGAGGGCAGGGTATGCTGGGCTCCTCTGCACTGCCCAGGAGAACACCAACAATTTCAGATACTACATGAGGGATATAGACTGATCCGAAGTCAAGAAACCTTACTAGCTTCAGATCTCTATTTAATTTTCATCTGATGCTACACTCACTAGCAATCTTCTCATCACTGATTATCTTCCCAGGTATTCTGATGCAAGGCAAACAGTTTCCAGGATATGAGCTGGGCACCTTCTTAGGCGTCACAGAAATATACCCACAGGATGGGGCAGATAAGAGTGTCTCGCGATCTTAACTAAAGATCTGAACTAGCTACCTGGAGTAGCTAACACAGGACCAGAAGAACGTCAACCCAAGTTCCAATCACGCTACATATGTCAGTAGAGATGTATTTAGCTGAACAAGCTTTCTTTTGTGCAGGAAACATGGAAGTGTTTGTATAGAGTACTGATATCACAACACTTACCTAATAGATGCTACATTCAATCCAAAGTAGTAATTTCCTCATAACGATGTGAATGGCATTATAATCTCATTATAATTTCACCATGAAAAACGTCTCTAGACAATTTTACTTCTATTAATAATTAGCTTATCTGATAATCTGAACAACTAATTTGAAAACAATATGCATTGTGGAATTCCTATCATTTTGTTTAATGAAATTTTGTATCACTTCTAATGCTTTGTTGTTGATGATGATGTTCTTGTTGTTTTTAACTAATTTTTATTCTCTTAAAAAAAACCTTTAAAATGGAAATTATAATCTCAGTTTACGTATAGTATTTTTGGCAGGAAAGTTTACATATTACATCTTGGAAAAAAAATTCCAAAAAAGAAGTACATAAGAAGAAAAAAATTCATAGGATAATTTATATCTCATAGGCTACATATTTTCTACCATTCAACCATTTAGCAAAATTAAAATTTTGATTGAATTATGGAATGGTGGAGGCAGAAGAGGCGTCAAACATCTAATTACAATCCTCTGTATTTAGGAACTACTTTGAGTATGGAGAACATTAAATGGTTATATTATGGATTTTCAAAGAACACTGAAAGAATGGACAGCACAATTAGACATTTAAATGCAAATATAATTAAGTGCTTTAAATGACCCTCAGAGGAAATCTCAGCATAAAAATTGGACATAAATAAATCTAAAAGTACTTGAAAATGTCAATGTGTGTTACTGTTGAAGCAAGTCTCTAATCACAAGTCTCCAACATTATTTTCTGATGAATAAGAGTCATTAAATGCAAGATACTGGAAGTACAATTTATTTTTATAAACTTAGGAAATAAAAATAACAAAACCTTTCAAAATAGAAATGGCTACATTGCTGAATTCTTTTCATTTCTGATCTTCTAAATATTCTCTCAAAACTTTCATTACTTCTCTAGCGTTTAAGTTATTTGGGAATAACTGCACTTTCTAAGTTGAATCAGGACCATGGACCCATGAAAATTACTTAATGTTGCTCTTTCATTACTTATTTCAAAATAATTATATCAAAAAAGACTTGAAAAAATTAGATACTATTTGTTATCCACTGTAGCCCATGCTATTTAATTTTGATAGTTATTTAATGTCTGACCAAGTGAGAAACCTAGAAACCATCCACAACTCTCTATTTCCTTATTACCCACACCCAAAACTTTGCCTAAAGAGATGTTTTTGTCATTCCTTTCTGTTATCACTACTTAATCAGATCTCAGGCCCTTTAGCAGTGTGAGGTAGACTCTTCTAATTAAATAATATTTATATAATAGATAACAATGAATAAATTAATAAAATAACTTCTTCTTAGAATTGCTTTTGTTACACCCATAGATTTCTTTCTTTTCTTTCTTTTTTTTTTGTGGAAAAAGAACAAAGCTGGGCACATTACACTACCTTACTTTAAAATAAACTACATACTGTATAGTAACCAAAGAATACAGTACTGGTAGAACACATAAGTAGATAAGTGGAACAGCATAGAGAACATAGAAATAAATCTACACAGAGATAATTGATTTTAGAGAGGCCAGAAGTACACAATGGAGAAAAGGTCTGTGTCTTCAATAAATGTTGCTGGGAAAACTAGATACCCACTGCTAAAGAATGATACTAGATCCTTATGCATTCATACACAAAAATCAACCCAAAACTGACAAGACTAAAACTGAAGACCTGAAACTACTAGAAGAAAACATAAGGGAAACGCTTCAGAAAATTGGGATGGGACTCTTTGGACAAGACCTCAAGAACACAGGCAATAACAGCAAGTATACACAAATGGATTACATCAAACTAAAAAGCTGCTGACAATAAAGAAAACAACGTAACAGTGAGACAAGCTACAGAATAGGAGAAAACATATTAAACTATGATGACAAGAGTTAACATTTAGACAATGTAAAGAATCCAAACAACTCAATAGCAAAATAATCCAAATATTCCAATTAAAAATGAGAAAAAGACCTGAATTGACATTTCTCCAAAGAAGGTATACAAATGCCCTTAAAGGACATGCGCAAAGCAAAGAAAGAAAAATGAATAAATAAACAAACAAAAAAAAAGGTATTGCAATCCAGCGCAGACAATGTATCTAAAAGTGTACCTTGACCTGGTACAATTATCTTAAATGTTTTACATGTTCTCTGGTTGATTTGTCTGGTTTCAATCTACAACTCCCTACAGTAATCATTATGTACTATAAACATGTACTAATACAAGTCAAAAAACTGTTCACCACATCACTTAATCATCAGAAAAATACATATCAAAACTACAATGAGTCATCACCTGATCCCAATAAGCACAGCTGTAAGCAGAAAGGTAATAAACAAACAAACAAGCAAGCAAGCAACTTGCTAGAATGTGGAGAAAAGAGAACTCACATAATACTGGAGGAAAAGTAAATTACTACAGCTATTAGAGAAAGCAGTGTCAAGTAACCCAAAGACACTGAAGAGAGCTGCTATGTGTTCAGCCATTTCACTATACCCCATATTTTTTTATTGTAACACTACTTAGAATTGCCAAGGTACAGGATCAATCTAACTATCCATTAATTGATAGAGGAATACATGTTAGCCATAAAGAACAAAATCCTGTCATTCGTGATAATACAGATGAGACTGGGGAACATTAATAATAAGCCAGGTACAGAAAGACAAGTACCACATGATCTTATTCACATGTAGTATCTGAAGGAAGTGGGGAGTAGAAGGGAAGCTACCAGAGGCTGGGGAAGGGCAGAGGAGAGGGCATACAAAGAAACTGGTGAAGAGACACAAATAAACAGGTAAGTGAGAGGGAAAAGCAGTGGTACCTATTGCACAGCATTGCTCTAAACATTTCAAAATACTTAGAGGAGAGGTTCTTGGAGACTCCTCAATAAAAGGAAAAGGTAAATTCATGAGGTGATAGATAAAATAAATGATTTTATGATTACACACTGTAAACAGCTATCAAAATACCACACTATATTCAAGAAATATGGACAGTTTCTATATCTTAGTAAATTTTAAAGTAATTTTAAGAAAACTAAAACAAGATCACATAGCAATAAGCCTTGAAGTTGAAACTTTAGTCTTCCGCTTTTCATTTCTATTCCAGTCTCCACGCAGTTGCCTGGTTTATTTTTCTACAACACCAGTGCTATCCTTCTAAATAGCAGTGTGATCATCCTATTCCCTGGTCTGACAGCCTCAATTTAATTATAGAAAAAGTCTAAATGTGTTACCAGGGCATTGTTCATTTGAAACTGATGACTATGTCGGTCCCAATCTGAGGTGATACACATGGCTGGTGGGTGACCCACCCTGGACTGCCTGTTGTACTTCATCTCCTCAAACACCTATCTTTCAGGTCTCCTTCTCTATCTAGCTTCCTTTTCACTTTTACTTTGGAAGTCTGAATTCATGGGCCACTTCCTTTCTACAACTTCTCAGTCACCCATGAAGAAAGAGTTTAGTAACTTGTGTTTCCACCATCCAAGCAGGCACAAGCATATACATGACACAAAGTA